TTAAAGGTAAGAGATGTCAGAGCAGACTGTTCCAAGGATAAACAGAGCAGTGAGTCAGGGCAGCAAGGCCTTGTAAGACTGTTCTGTATCCTCTGCTATTCCAGATTTGTTTCTGACAGGCAACAGGGCTTCCCAACTGTTTTATACGTGCTTTATATAAGAGCGTCAGTTTATTTTATTATGGACAAAGACTTGCCTCACAAGGTAAATCTAAAGATCTGTAAAAGATTGTCTCATATGAAAACGTAATGGATTCTAACTATTAAGATCCTATGGCAAATTAAAGGTTAAAAAATTAATTGTATATAAATGGGAATGCAGTATAAGTAATGTTGGGCTTATACAGTCAAGTGTATACCCTTTGGATAAAAGTTTTCATTTTTGTGAAAAGGTTTTAAAGTATCGTATTTTTAAAAGCCGTGTTAAAAGTTGGTACATTGTGCCTTTAACTGATAAGATACACGCCCAGCTCTTATGAATGCTGAGGGAGAAGTCGCTGCAAACTACATAGCTGGTTAAATAACACGCAGTTGTGGACTCAATGACCTCTTACTGAGAACTGTGGAGGAGGGGGAGCCTGGATTGTGATGCTCACTCACCACAGACTCCTCTCATTGGCTGGGTAGTAGCAAGGGCTACAGCATGGGCCAATGGGATTCCTTCCTTCCACACCCTTCAGACATAAGGGGAGGTTTCGACTTGTAAGGGTGTACAGGCACAGATTCCAAATAAGTTTAACTCTTTGGCTACTCGCCATGGTCATCAGCCTATAGGCAGTTTTAAATGGCATACAGTTACATTTTTTGACCTTATCTGATGTGCTTTAACCTTAGTTAAAGTGACTGTTCCACAGTTACTTCTAAAACGGATTTTATCACTTTCATAGGAAAATTCAAAAAGAAGATAAACAGTAGTACACTATGTAAGTGGAATTTAGGAGAAACGGTGCCAGACAACACAAAATACCGGAAGAGTTATAACAGTGCACCCTGATATGCTGCAGGTATGAAGAAATAAGGGCGTTTTCACTTGCCTGGAGGCATTTAACACATACCTGTTTAAAACTGTAAAAGAATAGGGTTTATTTAGATGAATCACTCCATTATCTCTAACTCATTTGGCATGTGTTCTAGTGGTCCATCAGGTGTGTCCAATCCAGCTGGTTTGCTTTCTAGTTCTCTTTAAATCAGCACCTGAATACCTGTAATAAATGACAAAACTGGGCATTTAAACTAATAATGGACTGAATTGGGTTGTTGAGAACTCAGATGGACTGAGCAGTCACGTGATCCGTCATTAAGTACTGAAACGGTAAAACTGGCTTAGAGGTGTCAAATGGTCTTCTGGCAGACATGGTTTTCCCCCAAGCAATGAAGAAATAACACTTCTCCAGCTTTCTTAGAAAGGACTGATGGAAAAAATGTCCTCTGTTCAATTTAAATATATTTAAAATGGACCTACTGTACACGCACTAACTAGTTCAGTGTGAAAAGCTAGATTTCCATTTTAAGCAAAACAAGGGGTTTGTCCAGAAGGAGTTATGATGTCAGATTCATTGTAAAGTCAGTCTTCCGTTGTTGGGTCATCATGTCCTTAAATCATTCTTGAATCACAAGAAATGATTTGCTCTCATTCGTCACTGGACATTCCACTTGTGGAAAGTTCCAAGACTCACACCCTGATTGTCTTCCCGGACTGTTTCCGTCCACTTTTTGGGATATTTATTACTTATTCTAACAAGAAATAAAAATCCAAAAGAAGTTGATTATGTTATTATCCACTTTAAATTGATCAAGCCCAGCAGTTGGAAGATTACAGTGAGACGGTAAACTGTCAGTCTCTCGTGATCAGAGAAACTACTACATATTATCAGCCGCCATTAAGTCCATATTCCTGAATTTAGGGTCATGTTGTAATAGTTTAGATAGTGTAGATCTGTGATGTTGTTCTTTCAAGATCTTGGTGTTCACACAAGGGTATGAAATAAAACATTCTGGGTTGGATCAGGAATATAAAAGTTTATTACACTCTATAAAGTTAGTTTAATAGGAAGTGAGAAAGTAGTTAAGGGTTAGATCTACAGCGTGTGAATAAATTCAATCTTCCCTATTTTGTGCAAATATTTAATAGAAGAGTTATCACAGGTTTTGATTTCATGGTTTTAACGGTTATTGTACTGAAACTCACACAGGATACAGCAAGGAGATTAGACCAAAGCGAGTGTTTAAAACTGACAGGAAGACACTTGAAACGATGCTTGCTGCCAAGGAGCTGTGAGCCTGTTTTGTTTCATTCCTTGGTCTCTGACATCCTAATGACTAAACCTCCCTTTGTTATCCTGAAAGCTAATAAGGAAATGACACTGCTTGTGAACTATATCTACTGAATAAATCTGTTTATTTTTTTTTTAGTGGAACAGTGCAAAAATCCTGTTTATGCGTCCACTTAAAAATAAGTAACTCAATATTTACTTAAACCCCCAAATTAAAATATTGGCTTAAATGTGCTTTTATTTTAAAAAGTTGTAGGTTGCAGCTTTAGAAGGTATAAATCCAATATTTACAACGCTCACTTCTCTGGTATTAGTTAAGTATCTCAGGGGCTCACAAAGGGAAATCTTAAAATTTCCTATTGCAGGTTTGTTTTCGATGGGCTTGGTAGTTTGAGAAAAACGTCTTCCCTTGACATCAGTCCTGGGTTTTGACGCCGCAGTCAGTAAAGACTGTGTAACCGTGAAGTGGCAGATTCTTACTGGAACTGGAGCAGTTACAGGCCAGATGGATGGGGTCCCTAAGCATTTCTCTCAATAGTGTCTGAAGAAACCACATTCTCGCAAAAGACTCATTCAGTACGGTCCTGTCCCCGCCCCCCACTGCCATTCCTCTCTCCCAACCCCCTCGCCACCCAACCCCCACCGCTTCAGCTATGCAGAGCACAGGATAGCAGCAGCTATCCCTGCACGTTCACCGGGTTGTGTACACTTCCTAATTGAAAGCATGCGTCTCCATGGCAACGGGAGAAAGCCCTGAGGCAGCATGACGCAGCAGCTGCTGCAGAGACCCTGTGCGCCCCCTCAGGCAGGGCCGGCCGGCACGGCGTTCAAGGGAAACTGCTCGCAGAGGCTGCGGCAGCGTGGCGCAGCAAGACTGTAACAAGATTAGCACAAGCAGCTGCTATAAAAAGGCCACTGATGTAACAAGTGAGCAGGAGGCAACAAGGCTGTTTCAGCTGGTAAAGACCAGACCTAGTGAGTTTAAGGAAAGGCAGAGTTTAGGTGACTATTTCAAGAAGCAACACCTCTTCTCTGCATGTCTGTACCTTTCTCTCACCCGCGTTGAAATGAGGATGAGTGGGCTGAATGGCAGTGTTGGCTCTTAAAAAATTTTGGAAACAAAGCAGGCTCACTTCGGCCATTTTGCTATGATCTTGTGAAGTCAGTCGGATCCTAGCCAAGCACAACCAAATGCTCAACTGAAATGTTCTATTAAAAGGTGCCAGTGCCTCCAGAAGAATATAGGTGTTGCCCAGTCTTGGAGCTGTGAACATTAAAGGCCAAAAGAACCCCCTTACATCTCACCACATTGTAACAGTTGTAGAAAACTACTGTGCTTTCATAACAGGTGAGCACACAGGTATTTTACAGTGGAATAATATTATGCCATTTCAGGAAGTATTTTTCCAGTCTATGAAGCCATTATACAGGTCTTTCAAAGCCAGTTTTACCAGTTGATTGGCAGGTTAAGGGATGGGCACCAGCAGAGTAGCTGGAGTTCTGTGCAATGTGGGATTTGTGCTGGGACTTGTTACGCTTGTGTATTGTGTAGAATGAGGAAATGTAAAATTTGATGAGAGGAAATGTGGCAAATAAAGATATCAAAGTAGATTCCATGTCCCTGCCAGTATTTGAACCTTTTCTAGTTTAATACTGCCTTTTGGTATTTATTGCCTGTAAGTAATCTTGTGATCCAATATTGGATTTAATACAGTGATGCAGTGGGTGATACTCATTTCTAAGAAAACCTTATATTGTTAATGTTAAGACATATACCATATTGTAGTATTATTTTCCAGATATTTGAGTAGCACGTCTTACCTCCAACATGTACAAGGTTGTGATTTAAAGGTCACAAGGGCCCTGTGATGAAAGATAGGAGAGTTGGAGAGCAGTGCAAGTTTTTTAAACTTAATAGAGTGGAATGGATTTTAAAATCCAAAGAAAAAAATCAGGGATGTTGTTATATAACACTTTTTTCACAAAACACAGTTTTCTTTGATTAGAAAAGAAGCATGCCCTATGTAATATCAGAAATGGAAATAAAAGCAACAAAACTGGCATATCTGGTCAGTTTACTGGTTGTGAACAGCAATATTTCATTGAAGCCTGAACAATATCTGAAAGAGGGGAAGACCACTAACATTGCCAAGTATATTTCGAAAATCAAAATAAAATAATGAAAACCCATGATTCTGGATTCTTTTAGATAGATAGATAATACTTTATTAATCCCGTAGGGAAATTGATGTGTTACAGCAGTCCAGCCCAAGACAAGCAAAACAGACATCAGAATAGTTATAAAACAAAAGACAAACAAAATAAATAAATACATAGGTGTGTGCAAAATGTGCTGATCATAGTCATTGTAAAAACAATAAATGTGCAAAATGTGCATAGGTTTATACAGACTGATTGTCCAAAAAGTACAAAGGAGTAAACATGCTGTCCATAGAGGAGCAAATGAAGGGCTAACAGTCCTTTTATATTGTTTTTCTCTAAATTTAGGATTCTTCAAGAGTTGCAACAATCCCCAAAATATGTAAGCTATAAGACTAGCAAGTATGAGAAATCTGAACCTAAGGGACTTGTGTTTAATCTGTAATGAGCAAGGAGTCCAGTGGATACTGAGAAGAAGGTTCTCAGAACAGGTGCCATACCTGGAACATGTCCTGTGAAAAAGACTTTCTTTTCTGAACGTTGTTCTCTTTTTTTTTTTCCTTTACAGCAAGTGACGGTTCAGCTGATGATGGCCGTGGGGGCGGCTGTGATTGGCTCCCTGCAGTTTGGCTACAACACTGGAGTGATCAACGCACCGCAGAAGGTGAGGGTCGGGAGACAGGGGCGATGAAAGGGAAGAGGGCTATTTTTAACCAGCTGGCCTCTCTTCAAACCAAAGTGACGCATTCTTCTCTCTGCTCAGTGCCTTTAGAGGTTATATGCTACATGTGAGGAACACTAAATACAGGCACTGCAAGTGTAGGCCGTTCTTCAGACACTCTCTGTCAGACTTCTTTTAATCCATGTTTGCTCACTGTGCTCAGACTTTAAAAACCTTACTAATGTTTTGTGCTACAACTAAAATATTTTAGGTGTTTTTACGGAATTATTTTTCAGAGCTTGCAGCAATAAAATAAGAAGTATTGTAATTGACTATTAAAGCAGTTTATAGTCCAAAGGAAACCTGGTGAGAGGGTGGTGCCATTTACCAGCAGAGACCTCAGCTTGGTGGGATTTCTGTTAAGACTGCTGGTTAAGCATTATGGTGTTAGACTAATCTGCATTGCCCAGCCCTGATTCTAAGCTGAAACCACCTTTTTATATGCTAGAATACTATTTGCAGGTTTGATTGGGTGGTGTACATCATTCTGTCATAATGAAGATGAATGTTGTAGTGGAGAAGCGAGCCAAGATTACATTAAGTTTCTATCTAGTATGAAACAGCAGTTTGCTGACTAACATACAGTACCCTTTGCATTTACAGCTTTCAAAGACCTCCGTGTTTTCAATATTGAGATTCCCACGTTTGACCACTAAGGATCTGAAAAACAAATTTGTTTAGAAGTACTGTTTAACACGCAGGGGTGCAATGTAGTGTGGGTACTGTATTTGAATTGTATCCCTAGTTGAGGGCATGGTGGCATCAAGCTGGCAGCTGTGGCACCAGGCACCTCACGTCACAGTGGTGCAGATGGCAGGAGATGACCTCTCAGTCTGGTGGATGAGGCGGGGCGGCGCAGAGAGGGTCAATACCGGCTTGGCCGTTGTTTGTGTTTGAGAATCAGAGTGGGCAGATTTCAAAAAGGACATCTCTCTGTGGCGTGCAGGTATTTAAGGGAGTCACAAATTCTTCTGGTGGTGGTGGGGAACCTGATAACATTCACTGGCATCGCACACGCTTGTACTGCCTTTTTTGATATGTGAAGGAAAGGAGTCTTTCCTGCGGGGCTCTTCTGTACAAGGTATCTTTGCAGAAGGTTCCAGCGAGGGATGGGGAGGAGTCAGCAGCTTGTACTTAGAGCTCTGCCATGATGCGGTGTGCTGTCCCTTGGTGGGTGACAGATAAGGTGACCGGACAGCGCAGGACTGCCGGGAGTTGATGTACTGTAGCTGGGAAGATGTGAAGGCCCAGTGACGTTGGCTCCTACTGTAAATAGCTGCAGGGCGATAAGATTGCGGCTCTCTCAAGGGCTCTGGAATGTAGACCAGTGGGGTCTCATCTCGGTCATGGGATTGATCTCCCAGAGCGTGGATACCTTGTACTTTTAAGACTCCCGGCTTGCAGCAGGGGCATCAAGGTTCATGATTATAACCAGAACACACACACTCCACAGAGCCACATGCCGCTAATAATCAGTCTGCAGCCTTGACAGTGTGTGAAAATAGTCGGGCTTCTTTATTTCGATGAATGTAAAATGTGTTCTTCACATTTCCAATTCACACGCCCTGGTGAATTGAAGATTTATGTAACACTCTCAGAGAAATTCTCTGTGTCTAAAAATAAAATTTTGGGAAAATCAATTTTTAGAAATGTTTAAGCTTAAAGGGGAAAAACACACACAGCTGAAGGTTAAGAAGTAGAATCTTGTGTAGCTCACTGAAGTACAACTATATATACATTTTCTTACTGTCCAAGTTATGTCTTATTGCTACAGAGTAAAAGTTATTTGTCACCTAAATTTGTCACCTAAATGTTACAAAGTCATTTTTGCTGAAACAGGTCCACCAGTACTGTATTGAATCCTCCTTTTTTCTGCAATAGGAATTTATTTTAATTTCATTCATGTGAAATTAAAGGGAAAGGTTCATGTCCTCTCAAGGGTTAAAGTCTTTCTAAACAGTCCTCTACAGGAAGTATATTAATTTCTTTTTAATTCCATTTATTGTTTGCAACGTAAGTTTAGATTTGATCTCTACAATAACACTGGCTGAAATGGATCACATTGGCTAAATATGATGCCAGCTACTTGGCAAACGTACGAGGAAAAACAGAACACTATGTGCTCCAGCTTTTTGAACACAGTTTTATCTTTTCAGCATGGACCCTTACTTTTTGTCTGTTGTGTGTGTGCCACTAAGCAGCCATGATAATGAACGTGTAGCTGAGTGGAAGGAAAAGTTTCTGAAGAGGGGGAAGTGAAATTGAATAACCTGGGCTGCCTCGTGATCCGCGTAGGTCGCGATTTTACTCACATGCTGTACGTCATTACACGTATTCAAGTGACACAAGATGGGAGGCATTTGGCCCGTCGTTCCCGAGATGCTGGGCTAATCTGGGAGCAGGGCTCCTGTAGCCGTTGCTGTTGCCTCGTGCCCGTGCCTGGGGTTTTTGACATTTGTAAATGGCGAGGCACACGCTTGTTTATCAACACTGCGCTTTGGTGGAGAGGAAAGCTGACACCCACTTCCGGCTGAGCTGTAAAAGGAAATCGTCTGCCCTCTGCTGTCCTAAATGTAGAGGAAATGGACACCTAGGTTCATTCTGTCATGTAATCGTTTTAGTATTGTGATTTTTAAAGGGATATTGGAACAAAATACATTAAACATATTTTGATCACTGAATGCACTTAATTTAAGAGTGTCTTCTGTGCAATAAAAATGGAATTTCTGTTAATTCCTAGAACAGCACTGCATGATTTAAAGAAATTCTAAAACCCTACTTTAAATATTACCCTTAATAAAATGGTATTTCACAATGCATGTCAAACTATTCTAGTCCCTTTTCACATAATCAAGGTATGGTAAAAGAGGCAATATGAAGGTGTGTCTGTTGCTGTGAAGAACTTTTAGTTTCTGAACTGTGTTTTGAAAAGCCTGCTTAGCCTGAATTTGTTTGTTCTCCTGTGTCCTATAGATCATTGAGAATTTCTACAACGAGACCTGGTTTGATCGCTATCAGGAGCCCATCAGTCCCTCCAACCTCACCACGCTGTGGTCACTCTCTGTCGCCATCTTCTCCGTTGGGGGCATTTTCGGGTCCTTCTCTGTGGGGCTTTTCGTTAATCGTTTCGGGAGGTAAGATAATCCCCAAGTTCTGCCCAAGCCCCCTTTCCTGAGATGCACAGGAGTCTCCAGCACTGTTACAGGAGATTCCCAATTCAGCCAATTTTATAGGTCACTCTAAATCGGCCTTAAATGATCAAATGTAATTTCTCAAGGGTGAACTTTGGTCCTTGGGGACAGAAGCAAGTTCACATTTTTGTTCCAGATCTCTAAATTGATTAACAAAGCACCTGCTTAATTGGTCACTGTAAGGCCTTGCTGCCATTTAACATAACTATGAAAAGGGCTCATTCAGTATAAGACCCATGAACTTGTAAAATAGTTACATATCGTACTGATCAGGACGTCTGCTTGTTAATATCACTGTTTTTTCTAATTGCACTGTGTAGTTCACTTTTTAATAATGAATAATTTAGAAAAGTTCCATGTAGAATATCCTCTGGCACCTGTTGCATAAGTGAAATGCAGAAGAACAACCTACCTTTAGAGTGCTCCTTTGGCAAAACACATATCCATTGCTGGGTAAATATGTTCTGTCATCTATTAATTAAATCTGAGTTACATATCATAACCATGTTACTGGGAAATGGGTTCAACTGCAGAAATCGGGGAATGGATGGGCAGGAATACTGGTCAGGAAAAGAACATGCACACTTTCCCCTCCAGATCTGTGCCAGTGCTGATGTCTGCCTCTCACCTTGCAGGAGGAACTCCATGCTCATGGCCAATGTCCTGGCTTTCATCGCGTCCGCCCTCCTGGGCTTTTCCAAACTGGGAGCCTCCTGGGAGATGCTGATCATCGGGCGCTTTGTTGTGGGGCTGTACTCTGGCCTGTCCACTGGGTTTGTGCCCATGTATGTCGGCGAGATCTCTCCCACTGCACTCCGAGGGGCGCTGGGCACCCTGCACCAGCTGGGCATCGTAATTGGAATCCTCCTGGCTCAGGTAATGGGAACCTGAAGAGTTAAGTGAAGACTGTGGGGATCAATGTCAACTGGGGGCAATAGTTGTTAATCGTCCCAAATTAAAATACCAGTGCATAATGCTTTACTTATGTTTAGTAGACATGCACACAGCAGTTTAACTGTGTCTGGAAGCTCTAAGCATGGTTAACATGCAAGACCACATGTTAATAATATTAGTGTCGGAGTTCCCAGAAGGCCTAGTGTGTTCTGGTTTTGTACGACCTGAGAACATGCCATTTCATTTTTATTCCCTTGTGCCATCCCGTGTTGTTTGTATCTTTAAACATTTAGGAAAATATACTGTTAATTTTACATACCAAATAAATGTGACCGCCTTTTGAGAGTAATCCCCCCTGTGTGAGCTCTTGCCTGTTTGTAACCGGAGGTTCCCTTCTGTCTCGCAGATCTTTGGAATGGAAAGCATTATGGGCAACGCCTCCATGTGGCCCATCCTGCTGGGATTCACCTTCATCCCCGCTGTGGTCCAGTGCGCCATCCTGCCCTTCTGCCCCGAGAGCCCCCGCTTCCTGCTCATCAACCGCAACGAGGAAAACAAGGCCAAGAGCGGTGAGTGTCGCAGCCCTGCCTCCCCTCAGTCAGAGGAGGCAACAGTCCTGGTTTTCTGACAAGCCGCTGTCCCCAGAGGTAATGAATCACCGGAACTGGGCGGTTTCTCCATAGAAGACCAATGAGGATAAGAGCTTTAAAATGCCCAGTTGTCCCTGCCTGGTTTTCCCCACTCGCTTATCACCTCACTTTTTGTAGAGGCTGGTCATTGGAGATTTGGGTGTCGGAAGGAAATTCGACCTGGGTGCCCAGATACGTAATGGGCTGAACCAAGGTGCTAAGTATGTGCTGTTCCCCCCTGACCCCGTTAGTCCTGAAGAAGCTGCGAGGCACGACGGACGTGAGCGCCGACATGCAGGAGATGAAGGAGGAGAGCCGGCAGATGATGCGGGAGAAGAAGGTGACCATCCCGGAGCTGTTCCGCTCGCCCATGTACCGCCAGCCCATCATCATTGCCATCATGCTCCAGCTCTCCCAGCAGCTGTCCGGCATCAACGCGGTGAGTCTTCCGGCCCTGCTCCACGCGGTTCCTGGCCATTCCAAGGGCTGCGTCTAGCATTGCTGCCTTGAAGCCGGCTGTTCCCGGTGCGAGCCGAATCGCACGCGCCCCCTGCGTGGTGACGGTTCACAGTGTTTTAGCTGACCCTGTTAGTACTTCTTTTTCTTCCCAGAGGTCACTAGCAGTAGGACTGGCAATACATACGGTGGTTGCATCAAGAAATTCCAGCTTAGCTTCCATATACATGCAACCTAATAACATGCAGGACTCATTCCAGAGTAAAGTGCGATAGCTACCTTTTGCAAAATCAAAGTGAATTGGAAAGGCTTTGGATAAGAGGAAGCCCTTTATCCAAATTAGGAAACCAGTTATTATTGTTTGTTTATCTCACCATGTGTATTAGCTGGTTTATCCTGTTGTCATGTAGATATAAAGAGTACTTGTTACTTGTTCAAAGAATTAGAACTGGTTACAAGTATAAATCCTTATAAAATAGATATCAGCAGTAAGGGTTGTATCTTTAGTGTGTGTCAGCATTGTTTTCTACATATAACCTCTGTCACTGTCTTTTTCAGGTGTTCTACTACTCTACCAATATCTTTGAGAAAGCAGGAGTGACACAGCCTGTCTATGCCACCATCGGTGCTGGTGTTGTGAACATGGCCTTCACTGTGGTTTCGGTGAGGACACTTATTTCCCCTCTGCTGGCTACGTTAGAACAAATACCATACAGTCTGTCTGCCTCACCTTTCACAAATATGCTGTGAAATATGTTTTTAAAGCTCCTCTTCCAGTAAAACAAACTATATTAAGAACCACAGAATTGAGCATGTAGATCTGCGGTAGCATATTTCACTTCAGCTTGGGCCTGCCTTTGTGTGTTAATTTTTCAAAAAAGACACAATCTGTCACGAATCTATTCCATGTTTTTTGCTTTAGCCTATCAGGGAGGCTTAAGGTTAATCCTGATTGTCGATACAGTGAGACTGAATTCCTCTGAATGGACAGAGTCGCTCGCCCCAGTGGCCTGTGGGAGTTTCTCTTTGATCAGGAAACGTAACGCTCCTCCTCTTCTCTCCCTCCAGCTGTTTGTGGTGGAGCGTGCCGGCCGCCGGTCCCTGCACCTCATTGGCCTGATGGGAATGGCTGGCTCCGCAATTCTCATGACGATCGCTTTGGCTCTGCTGGTACGTGTTCCCCTCTTCTATAGCATCACCCTGACGGGGTGGGTCTGCTGTGTCAGCCGGCCACAAAATCCAGTTTTATCCAGCAACACCCACTTTCTTAATAACGTTGTGATGAACGAACCTAAGACTCAGACGACTGCACCTCCTCTTCAGAGAAAACTCGGCTGTAAAAACTCTCTTTGCAAAATAAAGCTGAGAAGAGTTTACTTTTCTGTTCGCAGGACCAGCTGTCCTGGATGTCCTATGTCAGTATCGTGGCCATCTTTGGCTTTGTGGCATTTTTCGAGATTGGACCAGGCCCCATCCCCTGGTTCATCGTGGCTGAACTCTTCAGCCAGGGCCCACGCCCTGCCGCCTTCGCTGTGGCTGGCTTCTCCAACTGGACCGCCAACTTCATTGTGGGCATGTGTTTCCAGTATATCCAGGTAAGAAGGCCTTCTTTTTCCCCTTGCTCAGCTTCATAGTTGTGAACTTGGGCAAAACTTATTTTTTGAAATGTCAGGTTGTGGGTATGGCATTTCCAATTTTGACCCTCTGAAGTTTAAGGTAACATAATTGAGCCCCATGCAGTTCTGCTCAAGGCATTAGCTAATGAAGGGGTTTGCACTTTGAGCCCAGCTTTCCTCTGTGCTAAAAGAAAGCTTTCGTAAAGTTTTTTTTTCTTTCTTGATCCTATTCAGTAAAAAGTTCCGATGTTGGTTGAGAAGTTTCAGCGGATATGCTTTTCCATGTGAAGACGGTGGTTTGTGTGCTGTGGGAGTATTCACTCTTGTTCCATCTTTTTTTCTGTCATCCTTCAGCAACTATGCGGCCCCTACGTCTTCGTGATCTTCAGTGTCCTGCTGGTGGTCTTCTTCATCTTCACCTACTTCAAGGTGCCGGAGACCAGGGGCCGGACCTTCGACGAGATCTCGGCGGGATTCCGGCAAAGCGCAGGGGCCAACCCAGCGGAGAAGCACCCCGAGGAGCTCAACAGTCTAGGCGCTGACTCCCAGCTCTGAGCCCCACTGGTCACAGGTGGACTCCAACCACAGCACCACAGCCAGCTGCAGGAGCGGACTTGCACACTGTGGCTGCCACCACATTTCTGACATTGTTACGGGATAGGGAGGGTTTGTCCACATTGTTGGCTGTTTTTGTTTTGTTTTTGCCTTGACAGGGACCAGGGGGAGGGGGGGCTGGGGACAGTATTTGAGGGGGGAGAGGGACAACAAAGCAGTCAATCCCCTAATGTGTTTTGTTAAAGCAGGTGCAAGATCTCATTCCTACTTCCTAAAGTTTCAGACTCTACTACTGTTACAGAACAGTGAAGGCCTATGCCTTTTAATGACCTGTTGGGGTTTGCAATGTTTGTAATTTGGCCCCTTACCTGGCTTTAGGAAAAATAACTGATTTTACCTTATAAGTTTTAAAGACTTTTATCCACATGGGATCTTGGGTTACATTAGCACTACGAGAAGAAAGGAAACGCAACATTTCAGCTACGTTTCACACCCAAAGAAGGCTCCACAGCCGAAACGTGTTTCCTTTCTTCTCCTTTCAGCATGGAAGAAACCTATTACTTGTTCCTTTGCAGCCTACGCATGCTGACGCAGCTACCTATCTGAACTTCATTAGCACTACTACCATGCAGTGTTCAAACAGATTTCCAGATGCACAAAACCTCACCTTTGTTTAGTACTGAATGCTCTCTAACTGTATTTATAAGTCTGAGTAGTGCTATTGGTAGGTACCTCCTCACTGCATTGTCTGTGAGAGTTGTATTTTGAAGGTACCATTATCAAGGTGAGGCACTGAACCAATAAGTCTTCAGCAGGGGATTTGCATTTGAATAGGAGCAGGACATAAACCTGGTCAGTTTTTCTCTGGACTGCAAAATTAGTTCCCAAATGCAGGCAAAATTGTCTGAGAGAAAGTTTGGTTTCATATCGCTAGAAGTATGTGAAAATACTGTCCCTAGTTACTTTTGTTACATTTTAGAAAGCAATAGACTCCGTATGAGACTTGACAGTTCAACGGTTATTTTTTTAAGAATAGTGTAGTGTAAATATAGTTTTTGCAAACACTGTTTGGCATCCTGTTCCTGGTACGAGTTTTGTGGCTTTTAATATTTAAAAATCTCTCATGGATTTTGAATAAGAAATGAAGTATAATCATGTCGATTTCAATGATGCTTTTTAAGATGATGTGTCGACTGCAAACAGCTCCTGTGCTACTTTGGTTTTAGGATAGCCTTTCCCACCCTAGAAAGCGCACTGGTCCGCTTTGCTTTGTAATTACTAGACCAGTTATTTGAGGACTAAACTGTCTGCAAGATGTTGTCCTTTTTTAAAGGACGGCATTCTCTAACATTTAATCAAATGTTAGAAAGTTTTTTATTCTTCTGCGGTGTTTATGGAAAATTACTGTTTGCAGTGGAGGTACAATCACAGGACTAGCCAGTGATATCTCATTTTGTATTATATCCAGAAGTTAGAAATAAAATCGGTATGGGCTTGTAATTTGTTTTTTTTAAAGCCCAGAACTTTTTTGAGGCATTTCTAAACTAATGGCATTTAAGGCCACAAATGAATCGGGTAGGATGAAATTGATTTTGCACATTTTTAGGCACCAGCTTGACTGTATGATGTGCAAGAGGCCTAGTAATAAATGAGTGATGGTTTTGTGGATTAGTATTAGAATAGAACTATTAGACATAGTGCATAGTAGTATATCAGCTGAGAAAGCCAAAAGATGTGTCTGTGTTGCAGTGAGTAGGAGTCCACAATCTCATGGTTAATTGCTTTGAGAAAAGACCACCGCAGTACAATGCAGTTAGAAATTTGTGTGCTGTATTGAATTTAGTGTACAAGGGCTGATGGCAAATGGGAAGCATTTCTGCAGTCATGTGACACACTTTACCTTCACTCCAGGTCTGTCGAAGACGAGTGCGGCCCAACTCCCAGCCCCTTACTCAAACACAGCAATAAACCTTCCAAATGAATGTAAGTCTCCTGTTCCACCTTGCACAGGCCAGCAGGAGATCTTTTTTTTTTACCGAGAGGACCAAGTTGAATGTGGCTTCCAGCTTTTCTCCTTGTTTTTATAGACTAGAAACTGCTTTTAAATCTGCGAATGTCTCCTGGCACCTGGGATTCGGAGCAGTTTGTTTTGGGGGGGCGGATTTTGGTTAAAAGCTGATCACACGTAACACTTCTTGTCTTGCCTCCTTCTTCCCCAAGTTCCTAAGTTAAGTCGTGAACACAGGAAGGCGCAGGTCTCCATTAACCAGCTGAGTTCCTCTCACAACTGCGCAACTGTTTCACGATCAAAAGACTGGGGTCACTTTTTTCCTGAACTACAACTGACAAGGGGAGGTGTTCATTATTTTAATATTATTTCCCTTGCTTCATTCTTGTTTGCCCAAGGGTATTTGTTTTCCTCAACCTTGAGGTGCAGATTGTGCAGCGTGGCATGTGTAGACTTTAATGAACATTACAAACACGGCGCTGCTCCTATGTCAACTACTGAAATTAGTTATTCCGTTCTTGTCTTGCTCTGGGGGATCGCACTCCCTCCCCAACTTAATCTGTCTCGTTTCACTTGTGTCAGTCGTTGCACATTATGTCAAGCAGTAGTGGAATGTATAAACCAGATATACACCCAAAAGCACTCTTCTTTCACAGGTTGCGCACTCAAATGATTTGGAACTCCTCACTAGTGGCTAGGGAGGAACATGGAGGGGGGGTGTCATTCACCTACCAAAGGCTGGAGATAGGACAATCATTCCACATTGTGATTGTATTTTTGTGCAAAAAGTATCGGGCTGGTTAACAGCTGCCTATCGACATACCGTTGCTTCATTCGTGTCACCCCGGTTGTGAGACTCCAATGTGTCCTGTGACGAGACTTATAGAAGAAACCGCTCCTGGGCGTTTCGCTGTTCTGCTGTGTGTGTGAGGGAGTGGAGAGAAGAACACTGTAAACTCAGTCAGTCTGACCTTTTGAACATGTGTTGCCTACTGACATGCAAAACACGAATCGGAAAAAGAACACATATGCCCCAATGAGTTTTTTTTATTTTTTTAACCTCTGGCTTTCAAGTGATGGCATCATTTTAACCATTTTCCTAATCTGTTAAATTGCTTTACAGTGCTTCTTATTATACATGACATGGATAAAAATAACTGAAGTCTGCTGTAAGCAAATTGGAGCATAGCTTTTCCAACTTAAAGCTACAATATCCATAAACCGATTTTTAGAAGTATCTGTTTTTAAGTGAATGCTTACAAAACCTATGACTATGATCTCCTTCAGATCTTTTTTTTTGACAGTGTTACAAACATGACACACATGTCCAGTCTGGAATCTACACAAATGTTAAAGATCCTACCGAAAACAAAAATACTTTTAAAACATCTGAAAATACTAACCCACGGGGTCCAAACTTCTCATTGGTGCGTTTACTTGTTCTTTGTCTGAATTCTATTCCATGGCAAGAAAACATGTAAAAAACTTTTTGCTGACTGAAAGATGACAGAAGATGTTCCTTTTTGTGTATAGTTATAAATATTTATAATTTGTTTTTATAAATATATATAGTGTTGAGTGTAGATCTAGTGTGGTCAATTATGAATGAGATAAATACTGTAAATATTAGAATACTGTATCCACACATGTAAAATAGAAGACTTACAATGATCTCTAGATTACACAGCACTTTTAATGAGACAGCTTGTATATTGGTAGAATTACTTTTTGTAAAAAAACATTTTTGTTCATATAGTGTGTCCAACTCACCATGGTTAAGCCTTTCATTGTGTAAAACGTCAACTTGGAAAAGACGGAAAAAAAAAATAACATGCTGCAATCTCACCTCTGCTTTCACAGGTACCAGTGACAGGTAAAAATATTTATTAGCTGTTTAATTTATTAGTGTCTTTTTAAAATTGTGAGAACTTGAATATATAACTTACAAAAAGTAAATCTGTGTGTTCAGGGGAGGGAGGGAAGGAGGAAGCAGAAGGGGGGGTTTGCAAATATGTGCCAAGTCTTGCTGCTGTCCTGAGTTTTTTCTTCTTTTGTAAGATATGAAAGATGGGTGTTTGAATCAATAAAAAAAACACACAGGAAACTATTTGTGGTGGTTTGTCCTTATCAAAGCTACTCATATAAAAGTTACTTGTATTATGCCTCAAAGATCGCAAAGCGGGGAACTTCACTTACTTTCTTGCCTGGATTCAATCTGTTGTGTTTGTTGTGTCTTAGGGCGGCATGGTGGCTCTGTGGCTCAGGATCTGCCCCTGTGGCTGGAAGGTCGCTGGTTCGTATCCCGCGGCCGGCAGAGGGATCCTACTCCGTTGGGCCCCTGAGCAAGGCCCTTAACCCCAGCTGATCCAGGGGTGCCGTATAAATGGCTGACCCTGCGCTCTGACCCCAAGCTTCTCTCTCCATCTGTGTGTCTCATGGAGCGCAAGCTGGGGTATGCGAAAAGACACATTCCTAATGCAAGAAATTGTATATGGCCAATAAAGTGATCTTATTTATGGCAGTCTGGACAACAGACTCTCTGAAAGACCAAATAAGGAATAAGTCAGAACCAAAACCATAGTTCTGTGTGCTACGTCTGTACACCATAGGAACCCAGATTGACCTCTCAACATATAATAATTGGTAATCACACAAATGCTATATCAACTGATTTAGTCAGAAATGCAAAAACATAAAGTAGTGTAAGATAGGGTGCTTTACTTTGAACTACAGGAGCATGTTTAAAATACTGTATCCCTGCAGTGAGTGCTCTCACACTCTGGAATTCATTTTGGCCACCTACATTCACTTCATTCACAAGTCTGTGGGCATATACTGTACGTGCCTTCATTCCTGAATTCTCCATCGGAGGATTGCTGCTTGAGAAGTGTAACTAAATCATGTTAAGAAAACTGTAACGAGCTGTAAAAAAAAAACAGGCATACACGTGGCAGAAACCTATCATAATCCACAGTTTTAATCTGATTATTCTTAATTGAAAGCCTGAAATTACAATTGGCAATGAAATTCCAAGGTTAAAGTACAAACGAGCACCTTAAATGGCTATGGGAACTAAAAAATAAGATTTATTTTGCTAAAATGGTTCATAAGAAATAAATAATCGCCTTGATCTGAATTCTTAATGGAAATCCGAACACCACAAACCCCAAAAAAAACCCGTAAAAGAACTACAAGACATTCAGCAAATGGTTAACAGCACAGGCGAAGACGAGAAACTGGCAGCTCCACTGTTCTACCGCAAGAGGGCAGTGTCTACTCCAAAATCCAGTGAAGGGCCGGGAGCTGAGGATGAGCGTCTTTAAATTTCTCCAGGAATTCTCTTCATCCTTTTCACTCCAATGCGATCAGACCTTTTTCTGTACTGATTTTTGATATAAAAGTATTTTTAAGGGATGCTGTAAAAATGGACGTATCTGTTCTAAAAATCATCAAAGCACATACTGTAGCTGAAAGGTTGAGCCATGGGAAAAAATCTGCTTATACTATTTGTAAACATGACCTC